AGATCAACCATTCTAGCCATACCTCATATCCCTTTATTTCACTTCCTGTTTCAAAAGTGCTGATTTGGTGTATAAAGGTTTAAAAAAAAAAAATGATAAAAAAGGAGGGGGCTGAGCTCATGCGGGACCCGGCAGCTACTGTCTAAATTAAATACCGTGATGAAACACCATATCATGGATTATCAAGGATTATTTCTGAAACAGTATGGAGCTCAAAGGCTTTCTCTCTTGCCGGTTATACCACAAGGTGAGTTCCTTTTTACTTCCTGCTTCTTCACACACATGCTCTCCAGTACAGGTTAGCTCTGAGTGTTAGCGATGCTAATGTAAACACCGACCATATTACGTCCAAAACAGTCGGGCATTGTTTCTGATAGCAATGTTTCTGATAGCAACGTTTCTGATGGGGCCGTGGGTCCACATTTCCGATATCACGTCATATCGGACGCAAATCTGAATCAGCTACGTTGTAGCCCCGTTTTTAGAGATTTGGGTACGGAGGAAAAGAGAGAGGGTTTTTTCTGACGCTGCGTGAGTTCCCCGACACACCGGGGACACATCTTTTGTATGTATAAAAGACATCAAAAAGTGAATTTTGCATGATAGGTCCCCTTTTAGAAAATTATAATAGAAATTACACAATGTACAAAATACACATCCTGTAACAGTTCTGAGGATTTAGCGGACAGGTATATATTGCACGTAGTTGGTATGAAAACTAAACTGACTTAAAGTTCTTAAGGTATCCCTGCAAGGTACTATGGGATTAATTCAGCTTTCTCATCTTGACTCCATTCTGTTTTTGTTTTGCAGCTGAACGTGGAGGACCCGTGCATCATCTGTCACGAGGACATGAGTCCGGACGACATCTGTGTGCTGGAGTGCAGACACAGCTTCCACGACAAGGTGAGCCAATCACATCATAGGAGAGGATGTCATGACACATTATGAAGGTTTGGCTATATCATTTGTTATAAAAACATATAGTCCCATAAGTCATTCAATAGATGCACTTATTTGTTAAAACACTTTTATGAACTGAAGAAATAAGCAGTAATGATTATTTGATCATCTGGCAGCATCAGATCAGTTTACAGAGTCGTATTAAAATATATTATTCAGTTACCTTGAAATATCTTTAATGTGGTTAGGTCTTGTATATTTCCTTCAGCCGTTCACAGACCTTTCATCTAAAAATGTATGGAAAACTTTCAAAAATTATGAATTATTCCCGGAGTTTTACATGTATTTGACAACTCTCCCAAGTTACTAGTTTGCTTTAGACCGAACATTTAATTCATAATTCTAGTTTACTTTAGACCAGGGGTGTCCAACTCAAGGCCCGGGGGCTAAATCCGGCCCGTAATTGGTCCAGCCTTTGGAGCTGCAGGTTTTAACTCAGCGTTTCCTCCTCCTCTCTTCTCCCCTCCTCAGTGCATCCGCTCGTGGCTGAAGGAGCAGAGCACGTGTCCGACCTGCAGAGATCACGCTCTGATGCCCGACGACTTCCCCGAGCTCTCCGGACGCAGACGCCAAGCTCCATAACGTCAACTCTGATTATATCGCACATTTCTTATTACCCACGTGCTTTTATCTTCTTTCATATTTTTTATTCACCATTAATATCATTTAAAACTAATAATGCATGGTTGTTGTTGCATCGTTAATGTGTTCAAACTTATAATTTCTTTAAATTTAATAAAGCACATGTCTTGTGTTTGAACTGGTCTCTGTCTGTGTCTGTGTCTGTCCTTCAAACCTCAAACTGTCAAATATCCTGAAGAGATTAAAACAAAGAGGTGGGAGAAGTACTCGGATCTTGTACTTGAGTAGAAGTAACAGTCTAGGAATACTCTGTTACAGTAAAAGTCCTGCATTCAAAATGTTCCTCAAGTAAAGGTACAAAAGTATTATCATCAATATTTCCTTGCATGCTGGGAACTGGGAAGTTCCTCTTTCACTTCATCCAAAATGGCTGACGCTCATATATTAAGCACGGCATTCGTTTGTGTCGGCTGCCCTTAAAGGCAATGTGAGCGTCCATTCCCATTGGATAAAGGAGAATTGTACACCCGGAAGTAAGTATTCCCCTTACTGTCGATTGATTTTACAGTGATATCTGCACTACTCATCGACTAAAAAACACCAGATTATCCTTGTTAATTACACAACATTGATTGGTTTAAATTGTGTGCAATGCTTTTGTATTTTTCCCCTTCGATTCGGAGAAACACATCTTTTCGGAGTAAAGGATGGCAGAAGACACTACACTACCCAGAATCCCCAGCTATCGTTTAGGACTACACCTTGTGCTCTGTTTAACAAACCCCGTTTTTTTTCACCATTCATTCCAATGGCTGGCGTCTATGTCACGTGATCTTCAAATTTCTCCCTGCAGAAAAAAAAAACATGACCGAACTTTGTTTTATTCTCAGTAGAAAATGCCTATTTTAAAGTTAGTTTGGACATTAAAAAGCCTAGGAGCGTTACAACTGCACGCCACGGGACCCTGACCAAGCATCGCTCCTGAACGATTATGGAGTGAGAGTGTGTTGGATTTTGGCATGTCCCACACACTACTCTGCTAACTACAGTGTGTGTAATAAGTGATTAAATGATACTACATTA